AGTTCACTCCAAGTTTAGCTCCCTTCCCATGACCTTGATGTTTATCATGACAAGTAACAGCAGAGGAGGAGTCTACCTTTCTTGCCAACCTCGCCCAAGATTCAGAGATGTCCACCGCAAGGTCTTTTGGGAGTATGGCTGTCTTACACCACTTCTATCACTCATTGGCACTTGGGCAGACTCTGTGTTCTAATTTAACCAATTTTCCTATCTTTCCAGTGAAAGGACAAAAAAAAAATCTAAAAATTCCCTGATGAAAAAAGGGAAAGCAACTGCCTCTCCTTTCAGAGCACTTCCTTGGAAACCTTCGTCCTTGTAAATTCTTCCCCTGTCTCTTCGAGATGTATACAAATCTTTTTTAAAGTTCTAAACAAGCCTCTCCTGTTTTACAACCCAGGAATAGCACCCCTAGGAGGTGTGTAATTTAGTTACTTGGCCCCGCCTCTTACAAAACTACCCAACTTGTCATGGAGAAGTTGGATTTTTCCTTTGGATAAAGGCAATTAGCTACCACAGATGACCACCCCAATTACCGGGGGGAGTTTACAGGGAACTGTATTTGACAAATGGTTCTGCAGAGTCTTTTTACTTGAGGACTGTTGTTTCCATCTTGAGAACACGGATGTAATGTGGGGATATGTATAAAAGGGTGAGTTACTTTCTGTCTTTGCAATCTCTTAGCGGGTTGCCTGTGATGCCCATAGCAGCCTGGTTTAGTGCTCATCCAATAATAGAATTGTTTTCTTTCTCATCTGCTTAGGTGGAGAGACTTTTCCGGATTGGCAGATTTTATTTTTAATTATTTCCCCAACACCAGACAGATGGCAGGCTACTTAAGGACAGTGAGGTTAGGCTATTCGATTAAATTCTACAGGCATTTGATTGGACTCCACTGATGTGCCAGACATTGCCTGGACAGGAAAATAAACGTAATATTACACTCACCATGATGAAGTTCACAATTGAATTAAGTGGATGTAGGCTGGAAGCCTGGTAGAAAAGAGCATTGTGGTTGGGGACCTTGGTTAGCAGATAGGCTCTACCAGCCACAAGCTATATGGCTCAACAAATTGCAGCTACTGTATTTTCATTTAACTCTCACCAGCAATACTGGTGTATGGTATAGCCCATATAAAAATATGCGGACATAAACTTAGATATTGGAAACTAAAATAATTGTCTTGCTATTTCTACAACTGAACTTAATTTAGTCCATAAACCCTCCATTTGCACTGAGAGCTGAAAACAGAATCTTGCTAGATCCCATTTCGTCCTGTAAAACTCAGTTACATTGGAATAAATGCTCCTTTTCTGTCTAGGGTTGATTTAAAGTCAAGGATGTGATTGTCAGCAGCACCTGGTCTGCTGTGGCCATGTGGCCTGTCCTCTGTCACACTTCAGGGGAAGCCATGGCGCTTGTTTTGGGGACTCTGGGCTTTCTCGCTGCTGAATCAGTCACTACCTCAGCTCCTACAGCCCCTGCTAAGATCTCTGATTCTTAGTGACACTCCGTGCTAGTTTTAGTTTCCTCAGGCTCCAGTAACAAATTGCACAAGCTTGGTGGCCTGAAACAACATATTCTTTGACAGTTCTGGAGGTCGGAATTCCAAAATCGAGTTGTCAGCTGGACGTGCTCCCTGCAAAGGCTGCAGGGGAGGATCCTTCTTGGCCTCTTCCAGCTTCTGGTGGCTCCAAGTGTCCTTGGCTTATGGCTGCATCACTCCAATCTCTGCCCCTGTCTTAATGTGGCCTTCTCTTTATCCCTATGTCTTGTGCTTACCTGGTATATATCTCTTATAAGGACACTTGTCATTGGATTTAGGGCTCACCTGCATAATCCAGGATGATGTAATCTTAAAACACTTAATTACATCTGTAAAGACCAGTTTTCCAAATAAGGTCACAATAAAGGTTCTGCAGTTAGGACATGGGCATATCTTTTGGGGGCCACCACTTAACCCCTTCAGCTCTCCATCTGGTTTCTGGCTTGGGCCATAGTTCCTTCACTGGTGTTGTTCCTATATACTGACT